TAGTAGACCCCAAGTACACCGTAGCCCAAACCCCACCTGCAATTCGCGCTAAGTCCTGAAAATGGGCTTCTTAACTCCACTAGGCCCACTTCCATTGTGTGGGCGTCATGGGTCGAGTTTTGAAGCGCATTTTTCAGGACCTAGCGCACGAATTGGCAGGTGGGATTTGGGCTACGGTGCACCGGGGGTCCACTGCCTGAAACTACCAAAATCCGAGAAGGGTCCATTCTTCCTGTCCACTGCCTTTAACGAGATCTGTGCTTTTCAACCTTCCGAGTTACTGTCAAAGAGTTCTGTATGTTCGCTCTCGCTGAATCATACAGAATCTCTGTTTACATACTTCATTCGAAACTTAAAGGGTGAGCTCTTATGTCCGTGCAACACAGGCAAAACGCCGACGAAGTGAGAATAGACGGATTGTTGACATTTTGGAAAAAGAGCAATGTGAAACGTTGGTCGATATAGATAGGTTGTGACTTCGCTGTCCTAGTTGGGCTTATAGATTTCGAAATAACTCTTGGTCCATATATGGTTACTTATTTTCATGGTTTGAGACCGGTCCTGTGGGAAATTGACAATTACATTGCTATCTCTATTATATGTTTTGCTTTTCCTTCTTCGAAGAATTTCATTTCGCGCCGGTTTCTTTGCTTTCGTGGAAATTGACTTGAAACTATCTATCGTCACTATTGCATTTTCGCTTGTTCTTGGCTGTCCAAATATGCTCAATTTAGGAAGTGTGGTGGTGTCGATGAAATAACCCCTAACCATGTCTGCAGCTCAGGTATGCTCTTCATATCCACGAGTTTCAGAGTGTTTTTGTACCAATTAAAGTGTCCTTACCTTTTGGCAGCAATAAAAATGTCTCTTTTTAGGGTGATATTATGGTTGGCAACGTAAAAAGTCTTGTTGATCGATTGTCGAAAGACTTTTCATCTGCCCGGCCGCCCCTGTCAATCCATGAACCTCGAAAAAGTTAGTTGCTGTTTGTTCCGCTGTGTTCGAAAGTTTTTATTGTTCCTATGTTAGCCATGCCGAAGTCGAGCCCTATACAACATGTGATCACGACATTTGCTTACACAGCTGCACAGGATGATGAATTGACTCTTGAATTAGGCGACGTTATCGAGGTATTTCCCTTTTCCCGTTTTGATTCGAGTTCCTACCCGC